CATTGAGCCTCAGTCCATACTGAAGGCTACAGTCCTTGACCCTCTGCAATAAGTGCATGAGGTCCTCCTCAGTTTCAGGAAGCAGGGTTGTGTCATCTGCATAACGCAGATTGTTTATAGAACTTCCACCAATCCTGATGCCACACTTCTGTTCATAGAGCCCAGCCTCTCGGATAATCTGCTCTGCATACAGGTTGAAAAGCTATAGAGACAGGACACATCCCTGTATAGCATAAATATTTTATTTCCACAAATAAACTTCAGAAAGAAAGCCAAGAATAACATTTAAAAAAATCACAATTTTTACACAAGAAATTGGCATGGTATAGTCAGTATAAAACAGTTATAAAAGTGTGAAACGTAACTTAAACTTTGATGATATTGATGATGACACTGAGAGTGGAAATATAAAGTTAGGCACAGATGAATCAGAGATCTTAACTTACTCTAAATAGCACTCAAGCCCAAAAGGAGAAGAGGAGGAAGGAGGAGTGGTGTCCACTTCCATAATAGCTTGCCTTCGGAAACCCTATGAACCTGGAGAGAGGATGAAAGGCACCCAAGCATCAAGGACTCTCCTTCATAGGGTCACTATGAGTCGCCTGCGACTCGACGGCACTTAACAACAACAACAACAAGAACATGGGAACATATACCTAGACTCTGGAGAAATATTCTTTTATGGGAATATTTCCATATACTACCAGAGGCAGTACCCCAAAGTTACCTGTTTTGTTCCATTTTATATGATTCTTAATTTTCTATTTAACAGAAAATACTCCTCTGGGTTATGTATGTGGAGAGTTTGCTTATCCACCAAAAAGATTGTTTTGGGTTTTAGAGTGTCTCTGTTTAGTATTTTGTAACTGAAACTGACTACTATAATAATGTTTATTCTCACTGCAATCATGCTCCACATTCCATAAATCTGATTTTTTTTTTCAGTAAGAATAAAGTCAGATCATATAAAAATTCAAGCTCATTGTCACCAGATTGGAATCAAGTCCTTTCTTACTCTCTAGCAAGTTTTCATTTCAGAGGAAGGCTACATCTACATTACATATCTTCTTCTTCTGAGAAGGTGAAGGATTTAAACCAACAGAAATGCTTCCTTTGGGTTAGCTACACAACTTCCTAGCAATTAGGTCAGTGGGTTTCTCTGTATGAAGGAACTCTGTCTCTATAAAGACAAAGGGAAATATTTGCATAGAATGTCTCTGTCTCCATAAAGAGTTCATTATCTTTCTGATCATGAGAACCAATAGAATGAATTTGTGTAGAAACATTATCATTTTTTGGTCAAAGTTTATCCCTTCTTTTCATAAGTTCCTGTTAGAAATGAAATGAGACCAGGTCAACTGGATTCACTTTATTGTATCAGTACATACTATAATCTATGAAGAAAAGAAAAGAACCAAATGCATTCTTTTAGTAATGGGTTAAATTAATTCACTATGTTAAATATAATGAACCCATTCTTACTAGAGTAAAAGTCTCATCAACATTATGGACCAAAGATATTCTTTGGGATTAGAGGATGATTTACACAACGCTGAAGTCTTGAACAAGAACATAATAATCTCTGTGACCTTGGTTAATTTGCTAAATTTTTACTTCTTTAGTTGAAAATTGAAATATTATGCTAATTTCAGAAATGTTTTGACAAGATGAATAATGTCTCCGTTAGGAAACCATGCTTCACTTTCTTCTTTTTTTTCCTCCTCCAGCTTTATTGGATAGTTTAAAATTACATTTCTATTTTCTAGGACTTCAGTTGCTTTTTCCATCTGACTTTTAAAAACTGATTACAGCAAATGAAACACAGTTGTCTTAAGTGATATAGTATAAAAAAATAACATCTTGTTTTCTGTGAAAATGCATTTCTCTGCAATTCCTGAATAGCTCCAAATTATGATAACTCTGAGCATCGTTATTTACTCTGGGTTTTAGTCTTTGAAAAAAAATGTTCTAAACCTTTGCCATCACCATGTGTATATCCAGCATCAACTCTGTGATGAAGGTGTTCCTGCTTAGGCTTTTATTTTGGTTTCTCTCTCCAGTCATTAGCGTGCATGTTTGCCTTTGTTTACTCCCACTCAACTGTATGTTCTATGTAGGGCCTGATACAGATGTTACTTGATGTTATTTAATAGTTACTGAGGTCAGACAATCCAAGGCCACCATTATTCTAAAATTAAAGTTACTTACAGAAGTTCATAAACTTCCAAATTGTTTTATGTCCTACATGGGAACATTTCAAGAAACCCAGAATGGGCGTACTGGTCTGACTCAACTCTTCCCATTTATTAATCTCTATTCACCAGTGACATGGAAAGGGGGTTCTTTAACAAAGCATTATACATAACACCTCTACCAAACTAGACATAAACTTTTTTTTGTAGTTAAATGCAGGAAGTCGGTTTTTTTCCCACCCCTTTCCTCCTTTTACATGGCAAGTAAAGCTCACTGGCCTGGGAGTAGCCTCTATCTGCCAACCTTTGGCCAGTGAAGAGTATTCAGAGAAAAGAATACAACCATCAATCAGAAAAGGAGGGGAGACAAAGGAGAATAATTAAGCTGTAGCCTCAATTGTGCATTCCCGTGCAAGGTGCCCTGACTCTCCACAGCGGTAACAGTTGACTTCACTTGTCTTGCTGCAGTTGATGGCTACATGACCAGTTTCACCACACCTATAACACTTCACTTTGGTGCAGTCTTTTTGAATGTGTCCAAATTATCCACAAGAATAGCACTTCTGCTCATCAGCATGGTCACAATCACGAGCCAGATGGCCTGGTTTGCCACAGTTGTAACAGCACTGCTCTCGCTCTCTCTTGGGCTCCTTGCAGTCCTTGGCAATGTGACCACCTCTACCGCAGTTATAGCAGGCATCCTCCTGAAGATCACAATTCTTGGCAAGATGACCAGACTCACCACAGCAGTAACAGATGTCTGGAAGAGATGAGGAAACAAACTGGAAATCTCTATCCGAGGTAAAACCACCTCTGTCATGGCTTCTCATTCCACGACCATGGCCTCCTCCAGTAGGGCATTCCCGGGCCCAGTGGCCAGACCGCCCACACTTGAAGCACTCATTGCTGCTCATGGCTGTAGTTAGGTCTTCTTTGGCGCCTAGAGGATCCTAGACAGACGAAGAATAGGACGCAGTCCAGGAGAAGGCAGCTCACAAGACAGTGGCTGTTTATCCTCAGGGTCCCTGCCTGCGCCACACGCGGGTATGCACATGGCACCACACACGCAGCTGCGCACGGCTCCCCATGCTTCACTTTCAATTGGAAAAGTTTTCAAATGGTATTTGACAGGAATCTACATTTTAAACAAGAGCCTCAATGTCTCTGTCTTCTATGTCACCCTACAGATTAACTATGCTTTGAGAAATTTTGGTTTTAGTGTTTTTTAGTAAGATTATATATGTTGTTTGTTGTTATGTACCATTGAGTCAACTGTGACTCATAGAAACCTTGTGTAAAACACCTCTGAAGCCTGCCCTGTCTTGAGCCAGCCTCAATGACTCCGACATACGGACCCCCATTGCCACAGTTACCATATCAATTAATCTCAACCAGAGTCTCTCTCTTCTGTGCAGTCTCTCCACCCTTCCAAGCATGATGTCCTTCTCCAAGGATTGGTCCCTTCAGACCACGTGCCCAAAGTATGTGAGCTGGAGCTTCCAAATCTTAGCCTCCAAGGAGAAACTTGGCTTTCTCTTCAAGACATACCAATTCATTTTCTAGGGAGCCCATGGTATGTTCAAGACTCTTATCTAGCACCACAGCTCAAAGACATCAATTCTTCCGTCATCCTTAGTCATTATTTAGCTCTCTGATACATAGCAAGTAATTGTGAAGACCATGGACTGGATAGGTGCACCTTAGTCTCTAGATTAAAATTGTTGCTTCTCAGTACTCTGGAAAGGTCCCTGACAGCAGGTTTAACTAATGATAGTCATCTTTTGATTTTCTGACTGCTGGTTCCAAGAATATTAACTGTGGAGCCGAGCAAGATATAACTGTTAACAACCTCAATCTCTTCTCCATCCATCATGGTGCTGTCAATTGGCCCAGTGGTGAGAATCTTTGTCTTTTTGATGTTGAGCTACATGGCAAAATCAGAGAGTCAGAGGCTAGGAAAGCTGTTTTGCATCATCAACCTAGTGCACCACAGGAAGACTGTGCAATTTTTACTCTGTTTATGCCATTTTATTAAAGGAGCTATAGAGGAATGATGTGATATGTATTGTGCTTCTAACTCCAAGCTTATCAGTTTGAAGGCACCAGCTGTTCTGCTAGAAATAGATGACCTATCTCTTCCCATAAAGATACATAGCTTCAGAAATCCAGTGAAGGCTAGCTATGAATTTGAGTAGATAAGTCAGAAGTGAGTTTTATTGCTTTGTGGTTGTTTTTTTTTAATGTCATTATGCTACATTTGACTTACAGTAAGCTCATTCCTTGAATTCCTTGTAAACTATCAAATGTATTACATTCTGAGTTGTTCATGTTCCTGTACTCTATTGCACACTACTTAGAAGCTTTCAACTTGTCATATTAGTTTGCTATTGTCCCTTGTTTCGGTATTTTTCCAGAACTTCATTTTGAATCTTCCTCCCTAATAGATCTTTTTTCCAGAAGTTCCACTGAAAGTTGGAGGGTCAAAGAAAGACAGGATAGATTAGACAGATTAGATAAATTGACACAGTGACTGTGACAATGGGCTTGAGAATGTTACAGACAGTGACGATGGCACAGAATAAGAAAAGGCCCAGTCCTGTTGTTCATAGGATCATGATTAGTTATCGTTGACTTGAGGGCATCTGACAAGAACAATATGTCTATTAAGGCTCTCTAAATTTCACATCCCTTTGTGTCTTTATCTAATATTCAAGACAATTTTACATGTTTAAATGGACCCATTTCTGTTGTGCTTCTATTATATTAGACCTTTACTTTCAGAAGATGGCCTTATGAAATCCTTAATTATATATTTGTAATGAATTTTTGTATTGTAATTTCATTCTTAATATTTAACAATTTCTATTGGCAAATGTAGATTAGTCTCATATGATATGCATGAGAGTAGTGTTGTACCAAATAGTATAAACTCCCAAACAAATTTCACGACTGAAAATATTGTGTTCGAATGACATTCCAGTAACAACATGGTAGAGGATTAGCTAAGAGTGGACCTGATATAATGAATTGGCACAGTGAATGTAACAATAGGCGTCGGTGTGGCAGAGATTGTAAGGATAGCACAGAATAGGGAAAGGCTTTGATCTGTTGTTGTTCATAAAGTCACCGTGAGCCATAGTCAACTCTATGGCACCTAATTATAGCAACAAAAAGGTTTAATAGAGCATTCATATGTTCTACATGTCTTTCAGTGATAAGTTGTTCAAATGGAGATGTCAGCTATTTTCTTCCAAACCTGAAGTCTTTGCCTTACTTAAATAGACAATAAGTGTTTGATTAATCATAATTTACTGTAGTTTATTTGCATATTGTGAAAATAATTTAGGCATTGTGAAAGCAAAGATGTGCCATCATCTTTAAAACAGTGTTCAGTAAGTTAAGTTTCATGTGTCTTTTTGTTACAAAACAGAAAAACAATCTTTTATTCTTCTGTTATGGTTTCTATAGAGATTAAATTATCAAGCGTGCATTGGCCTTTTCTAAAATCTGGTGGACTAAAGGTAAGAAACTGCAATCCCAAAAGCATGCAGTCTGAATAAACCAGCTGCTCCATGGGAGAAGGATGAGCAGTCTCCTCCTGTGCAACCAACAGCCTCTGAAAACCTGCTTCAATGGTGCTCTGCAACAATCTATCTTTTACCATGCTTTCATAGTTTGAGGCAATGGGCTATGCTATCAGTATTCTCAGTCCCAGCAAGTTCATCCATGGTAGACAGGATTTGTCAGAGCTTTGAGACTAAAAGAAATGAAAAACAGTGATTTAGAGTCCACTCTGAAATTATCAGCCACTGAAAACTCTATTAACAGCTCTGGAATTTTATCTCATACCATATTGGTATATCAGACCCTTGGGTTTTAAGACCTTTCACACACAACTATAGAAGAGTTGACTCTTTAAATATGTTACACATGCAAGTTTATAACTTAATAGAGTAAACTTTTCAAAAACTTAGTTTGCTGACGTATCTTCATCTGTTAACACGCAACAGTTCAAAATGAGTAGAAATTAACAGGAAGACAACACCTTTCCAAGAGTGATGTCTTTCTGCAAGGACTGGTTTCTACTGACAACATTCCCAAATTATGTGAAAAGAAGTTTCACCATCCTTGCCTCTATGGGGACTCTAGTTGCACTTAACCCAAGACAGAATTGTTTCTTATTTGGGTAGTCCATGACATTTTCAGTGTTCTTCTCCAACAACAGAATTCAAAGACATCGAATTCCTCTTCTTTCATCCTTATTCATTGTCCAGCTTTCAGATGCATAGCGAGCGATTGAAAATACTATAACATTCAGTATGAAATTAACTATATGAAAATCAATAGCCTGGCTACTCATCCATATTCACTCATTTTCTCCTAGTCAGGACTAACTTATAGCTGATCCTCCAATATGATTTCAAAGACTATACATCAAATGAGAGGAGATTAGATTGTTCACATTTCTCCCACATATCAGCTAGTAGACTGAAACTGCCAGCCTTTAGGAATGGCAGCATAAAATCTTACCCACTTGGCTACCAGTATGCTAAAATACACACAAATTACAATATTAAAGCTACTTTTAGAACCAAAAGAATCAAAGAATATGATGAATTTGGGAAGAAGAAAGAAAAAAGTCTTTACTCAAGAGTTCTATGTAATCATATTATTACCTCCACAATATACTAAACAAAATCCAAATATTGGAACTTGTTGCTGTTGTTAGATGTTGTTAACTATAACTCAGAGTAATATTTTTTAATTTGTATTTTATTATTTTTGTGTGAGTGTACCGTCAAATCAGATCTGACTGGTACAGGAGGAGATTGCCCCTCCTTCCCTGGCAGAGCATCTGGTGGATTTGAACCGTGAGCCTCTGGGATTGTAGTTGCAGCTCCTTACCACTAGGCCACCAGAGCTCCCCTTCAGAGTAATATCTTATGCACAACATAATGAATTATTCCCCTATCCTGTGGCATCCTCACAATCTTTGCCTGGTAAAGTCATTGCATTCACTGTGACAAAAAAAAAACAAAAAACCAAACAAAAAACAAACAACAAAAACAAAACAAGACAACCCTCTCATTGAGAATTTGTGTCTGTTTTTCTTCTCTCTATGTTTCCCAGTCTGGTTGGTGTCTCCAAATGGCGGGTGCCTCTTGACAACATGTCGAAGTTATTGACATGAAATCTCACCATATGTGGCTTTAAGCAGTACACAGGTTGCACTTCCACCAAGGTGGATTTGTCTCTGATAGTGCATGGTAAATCCACTACTCTCAGCCAACACCAGAAATCAAAGGAATCGAATCGTCAGTCTCCCTTATTCATTGGCCAACGTTCACATGCCTAGGAAACAATTGAAAATGTCATAGCTTGGATCAGGCTTTAAAGAGACATCTTCCTCTTTACAAATTTGAGTAGACCCTTGAGAGCAGATTTTCCCGAATAATACCTCTTTTCATTTTTTGACCACTGCTTGCATGGATGTTGATTGTGAATAAAAGTAAAACAAATTCATTGACCTCTTCAACATCTCTCCATTTATCATTACGAAGGTCTTTCCATAATCGATGAAACACAAGTGAACATCTTTATTGTATTTTCTGCTTTCAACCAAGATGCACTTAATAATAGCTGTGTGATATTTCTTGCTACACCGGCACAGCCTCGTCCAAATACAGACTAATTTTCTGGATGTGCCTGTTGATGTGTTAGTTTTAAATAATCTTTAGAAACATTGAACTTGTATTTGATATTGATGATATGTTTAATATCAATGATTCACACTCTGTTAGATCACATTTTTTATTGTTGTCGTTATGTGCCGTCGAGTCGCTTGTGACTCATAGCGACCCTATGTACAACATCCTTAAACTCCACTCTGTCCTGTGCCAATCGCTCCGTCTCT